TGCAATCTGAGGCATGGTTTCCACTGAGACAGATCGTACCGGAAACTACATTTATGTACGTTGTACCCGAGGAAAATTTGCCAATCGTAAAACAAATTTTTTGTAAAATATTAATAGGCAATAATATATAATCCACATGCGACTCCTCTTTCTACTCTTTGCCAAATGTGGGCCTCTTTACTATCTAATAGTAGCAAAGTTGTTGTAGATTTGTAAGGGTACAATGTGTTAATGACTTCATAAACTTGAGTATTTGTAAAAACACGGAGGATTGAAAGTTGGCAAGTTTTTGCTGGCCTATTTTTATCCTCATTTTGGGCCTTGCGGGGACTTAGCAGGGGATGTAATTTCCAAAATGGTTACATGCATGTGAGAGTCCCGGCCACCTCCTAGCAATGCGGAGCATCGTTTTAATGTACATCCCCGGCTAAGTCCCCGCCACACCGCCGTAGTCCTGGGAAAATGCCTCGCTAATAAATGATTGGAGGATAAAACCTACTTGAAGGTTTAGCCTACAGTAGGTCTGAATCGGAGAAGCAACGTGAGAGCTAGGCCAAGGAGATGAGGTTCCTTGATGGAAGCACTACGCGTGCGTATCACTTAGCAGTTTCCATGGAAGTTTGGACTACAATTGACAAGTGCATAATCTGTCTCTTATACACATCTAGATGTGTATAAGAGATAGATTTTTCAGTGGGATTGAGCACTGTTTCACAAAAAATTGAGATATTTTTTTTTTATATATATATATATATATATATATATATATATATATATATATATATATGTATGTATGTATGTATATATACATTCAAAATTAAAAATAAAATGATATTATATAAATAAGAGATAAAACACAGTTAATGTATCTTCTCCAAAATAAAGTATTATTGTTGTATAAATAAATTTTATATTTTTACATACACATTGTTTAATCAAATAGGTAAATAATAATAGGGCTCGTATTATATATTACTGTAGGTATTATATATTATATAATATGTTATTATGCACTGTTATAAAGTACAGGTATATAATAATGGGGGATGCTTGATTTATAAATTAATACGCATAACCTGAATGCAGAACTGTCATTCTTCTATATCATTGTTCATATGTCAATATTGATTAAGTAGTTAGTCCTTTGTAATTGTTGAATGTTATTGTTATGTACATGTTTATAATTGTGTTTACTGTGCTAAGCAGCAATTCTAATTTGAATATTTATATATAAACATAAGTCTTCAGCGTGTGATCTTATCTTACGGCAGACAGACAGACGTTCAATTGATAGGCTTATTTTTTTTTAAATGATTAATTATTTGGTACACGGATATTTCTGCCATTTCTGTGGCCTTTATCAGTGAACTTGATAAATAGATCACGAACACATCTTATATACATAACGAAACATTGATCAAGTGAGAAATGTCGAGATAATATACGTGCGTGTTGATGATAAAGTTAGTAATGTATAAACGATAGCAATACATGCAATAATAATAAGTTTATCAAATATAACATGTATATAGGAAATATGTATATAATAGGCCTACTATATTTCTATTGTTTAAAATCAGTCAGTTCATTACTTTCTCCGACGGCATGTGTTGTGCGCCTAAATAATTAAAAAATGAATGAATAAATAAATGAGACGCATTACAGATCGATAGTAAGGCCGAAATGAAACCAAAGTATGCTACTTATATAATAAATACGACATTTGTAAATTAGATGCATTTTTATGCGTTAAATCTGACTGAATGGACGATACAAGTTCCGAGCACCTGGCAGTAAGATGATTTATATATAATATATACTCTGTATAGCACTATCTCAATTTTGATTTATTACTTCACGTATCAGAATAAAAATCCCGGACGTTGGTAATCCATATACATTAATCGATACAGATATTTTGATACTTTTACATTTGAGGGGGTTTTTTTTCTATTTTTGAATATACCACTGTTATCTGGGCTGTTGTTCAGTACGTCCGTTTCAGCGCTCATACTAACAAAGTGTTTATGCGCCTCGCAAATCTCTGAATGAAACATGTTCACATACTCAGCTACCATGATGCTGCAGCTATTAAAATGCATTTAAACCTAGAAGGTACTTTAAACGATCGTGCTAGAGAAATTTGTCGACTAGGGGTCCGGCATGTCCGACAGCGGGGTCCAAGCCAAGGTTCCGACTAGAGCCTCGATCAGGGAGACAAACATAGATAGATTGCAAGCGACTTGCACAGGGAATAAGGTTGAAAGTCCAAGGCACAACCGTTGCGCCGATCGCTTCCACACATATTTTTTTATTATAACTGACAATAGGAAAAATAAGTGTTTAGTCAATTTCGTAATTTCAAAAGCGCATTGAGATATTTGTGTGGTTGGCTATAAACAGATTTATTGCTGCGAAGCAGCCAATTCATATTCTTGACAGCAATTTGACCTCTGAAAGGTCATTGTTTGTCAAAAAACGAGTGCCTAAGACGACTGAAAAGCGGAGTTTCCTTCTTTCGTTCTGCCGGGTAAAATCAATTA